AGGGCCATGCCAGCCCTCTGGTCGCTGCAGAGAACCCAGCCCTCCCCGAAGGCGCGGAAGTACTCGGCGTTGAGAGCTCAGGCAACACGCGAAGGGCGACGTACACGATGAGAGCCAGTTTGCAGCGAATCGAGGGAGGAGCCCGTTGTGGCCGCGACCCCGCATTGGGTACATCGGTACCGCCCGAGGCTGGCGCAGCAAGCAAGGACAGGGTCCGCACTGCGTGCCACCGCAATGGGCCTGGCCTGCTCGCAAGGTGGCCTGGGGACCTGCACGTCGCATCCCCATTGTTTGCTTGCCACCACCTGCAGTGCCGCCCACGAGATGAACGGCAGGACCTTGCGGTGCTGTTTCAGCGCAGCTGTTACCGCCTCAGCTACCGACCCAGCCAGCGCGTGAGAGGCCGCACCACAGCGCGCGAAGTAGTCTACCCAGCCGTTGCCTAGCCAGTCACGCAGCTCCTGCGGCTCTGTGCCCATGAGCTCCTCCCATGACCTGCGCGCCGGCGCCCATCGGAACTTTGGAGGAGGAGGAGGAGGCGGAGGAGGAGGAGGAGGAGGAGGAGGGCTAGGATGACGGCGAAGCTGGGAGGAACGACAAGAGGGGGACGGGGAGAGGGAGGAGGGGGAGGAGGAGGAGGAGGAGGAGGAGGAGGAGGAGAAGGAGGAGGATGTTGCAGATGAGGAGGGAGGATAAGGCGGATGCGGAGGAGGAAGAGGAGGAGATGACGAGGTTGGAAGAGATGCGTGGTCATGTTAAGCGGGAGCAGGAATCCAGTGCATGACATCGAGGGATGAATTATGCTGAGCTATACGTCGATGGGTATCCCCGGCAGGGCGGAAACCACCCCGCGCCGTGTGCCAGTACCCCGCAGGGTCCATTGGCCGTCGCCGCCGAAGCGGGGGCCTTGTCCCGTAGGATTCGGCCCAGGAGATCCAGGCCGCAGCTTGGACGAGGAGGAGCAGGTTGAGGAGGAGGAGGAGGAGGAGGAGGAGGAGGAGGAGGCGAGGAGGGGGGGCAGGAGGAGGAGGATTTGGAGGAGGAGGACCAGTGCAAACCCAAGATTCACCAAAGATGTTGAAATACACCCTCCTTCCAACTCTCCTCTTAATGGGCTCCTGCAAGAATTGGTTTTCATTTGAGAACCGCCCATCTGCACGGCAACTGCGTGGACATCCTTAGTCGTGCCAAAACGCCACGGATCAACGAGACTGCTGCACCATGACAATCCTAAGTCGTGCCAGGAAGCCATTCCTGGGATGCCAACGCCGCGAGTCAACGTGACCGTCGCGCCCTGACATCTTTGAATCGCGTCAGAACGCCGCTCCTGGGACTTCGGCCATACGAGTCCTTGACACGGTTGCAAGCGTTTAAGACGAATGTGCGCGGCGTAGGGGACGAGAGACACATTTTGAAAAAGGAGCCGACCTTCATCCATGAATCTGCTTAAAGTTTTCTGCTATTATACATACATATCGATAAAACAACAAACAAGTGCGCGGTGCTCAAACGAAAAACAGGTTGGACACATAATGCCCTCCATCCCTGAAGCCGGTGCAGGTGTTTAAATCGGACGCGCGCGGCGGTAAGGCGAGGTCCACATTTAAACAGAAAGGGCCCGCCCTCAATCGTTGAAGTTGCTGCAAGCTTTTAACGCAAGACGAGTGCGCGCGGCGCCTGGGCGAGTGCCGCATTTTGAAACCACCGGCCCTCCATCCGTAAAAGGCTTCATGGCCATAAATGGCGAGGCAGCCCCCAACCACGTCTGGGGGTTCGACAGGGAGGATTTACTATTCTTACGGAAACAAGGAGGAGGACCAGGAGGAGGAGGAGGACCAGAAGGAGGAAGAGGCGGGGTAGTAGTAGTAGTAGTGGTAGTAGTAGTAGTAGTAGTAGTAGTAGTAGTAGTAGTAGTAGTAGTAGTAGTAGTAGTAGTAGTAGTAGTAGTAGTCGTAGTAGTAGTCGTAGTAGTAGTAGTAGTAGTAGTAGTAGTAGTAGTAGTAGTAGTAGTAGTAGTAGTAGAGTAGTCGTAGTCGTAGTAGTAGTAGTAGTCGTAGTAGTAGTAGTCGTAGTAGTTAGTAGTAGTAGTAGTAGTAGTAGTAGTAGTAGTAGTAGTAGTAGTCGTAGTAGTAGTAGTCGTCGTAGTAGTCGTAGTAGTAGTCGTAGTAGTAGTTGTAGTAGTAGTGTAGTAGTAAGTAGTAGTAGTAGTAGTAGTAGTAGTAGTAGTAGTAGTAGTAGTCGTAGTAGTAGTAGTAGTAGTAGTAGTAGTAGTAGTAGTAGTAGTAGTAGTAGTAGTAGTAGTAGTAGTAGTAGTAGTAGTAGTAGTAGTAGTAGTAGTAGTAGTAGTAGTAGTAGTAGTAGTAGTAGTAGTAGTAGTAGTAGTAGTAGTAGTAGTAGTCGTAGTCGTAGTCGTAGTCGTAGTAGTTGTAGTAGTAGTAGGAGGAGGAGGAGGAGGAGGAGGAGGAGGTAGCTTTTGTTGCCGACCCTGATGCTGATCCCCACTGGGTCCCAAGGGCCAACAGCGTGCGACACTTGCCCCATCGAGTCTCGAGGGTCGAGGACAAAACTTGGCAGAAGAGGATTAGGAGGAAGATGATGAGGAGGAGGTGGAGTAGGAGGAGGAGGAGGATGGTGAGGAGAAGGAGGAGGAGGAAGAGGTTGAAGAGGAGGAGGAGGAGTAGGAGGAGAAGAGGAGGGAGAGGAGGAGAAGAGGAGGAGGAGGGAGGAGAAGGAGGAGGAGGAGGAAAAGGAGGAATAAGAAAACGAGGTTGAGGAAGAGGACGAGCAGGGGGAGGAGAGGAGGAGGGGAGGAGGAGGAGGAGGAGGCTGAAGAGGAGGAGGTTGTGGAGGAGGAGGAGGAGGAGGCGGAGAAGGAGGACGAGCAGGAGGAGCAGGAGGACGAGGACGAGGACGAGGAGGAGGAGGAGGAGGAGGAGGAGGAGGAGGAGGAGGAGAGACTGTCAGGACGAGGTTGAGGAGCAAGAAGAGGAGGAGGAGGAGGAGGAGGAGGAGGAGGAACGTGAGGAGGAGGTTGTGGAGAAGGAGGAGGAGGATGTGGAAGTTTAAGAGGAGGAGGAAGGAGAGAAGGAGGTAGAACGGAAGAGGATGAGGATGAGGAGGAAGAAGAGTTGAAGGAGGAGTAGGAGGAGCAGGAGGAGGATAGACTGGCTCGAAACACCCTCCTCCGGACGGGCCGGCCCGCGTCGCGCCAGGTGGGCCTGCCGCGCGCTCGCAGGCCCTGCGCGCCAGGGGGGGAGCGGGGTCCTCCCGCGTGCGGGCCGGCACTGGGGCAGGCGGCGGGGCGTCGTCCTCCCGAGGCTCGTACCCAGACCCCCTCGCGCTGTGAAAAAATCAGGACGAGCTTCTGTTTCTCTATCTTCAGCCTCCGGGGCCCTTACCCGGCCCCGGGACCGTCAGAAAACGACTCAGGATGAAAAACTGGTCCCGGGGAAGGGGTCCAGACCTCTGGGGGTCGACGCTTGCGAGAAAATCACGACGTCGGGGGTCTGGGCATGTGGAGGGCGGGCGGGATCGACCACAACACAAACGACACCACCCCACCTGCGGCCCTCCATGTTGCCCTGCGGCCCATCGTGGGCCGCAGCGCATGCCACGCAAATGCGCTTAGCCCCGTGGGGCCGCAGGTGTGGTGGTGTCGCTCGTTTTCTGGTCCAGGGGAGGGGGGGCTGTGGGGGAGGGGGGAGGCAGAGGAAGACGACGACGGAGGAGGACGCAGAGGAGGAGCGAGGAGGAGGAGGACGAGGATGAGGACGAGAGCGACGAGGAGGAGCGGGAGAAGATGTGGAGGACGAGAGGGGGACGAGGAGAAGCGGGGACCAACCGGATAGGGAGCGTGCGGAGCGCAGGGGGCGGGGTGCCGGCTTCGCTGGTCCGCGCGGCCGCGGTCCGCGGTGGCCGTGGCCCGGGAGGAGGTCGCGTCGCCCAGTGCCCTCGCCCTCCTTCCGCTCCGCGTGGCCGAGTGACCTTTGGTGTGGGCCCATTGGGCCTCCCCGAAGGCCGACTGCGATGCGATAGCAGCGGCCTGCGCGCTTGGGTTTGGCCCCCTCGCGCCTCCAAAGGCCGCGCACCAGAGGTCACCATTGCCCAGGGTCGCTCTTACGTGCAGCCGATCCTCGCACTCCTTTCCCTCCGCCAGGCCGCCTCTACAGGACATTTCCTCGTGCTGCTCGTCCATGCTTTCTTTTTCTGTCTCTGTCTGTCTCTCTTTATCGATTGATATTTTTTTCTGTCTCTCTGTCTCTCTCTCTCTCTCTTTCTCCTTGTCTCTCTTTCCCCCTCCCTGTGTAAGTATGCCTCCTAGATGGGGTCGGAGTAATTAGATGGTGTCGGAGGATCGCGCTGCATCGCCGATGCATCGGCGATGCGGCTCGATGCGGAGCCCGATTTTCTCCACGCCGACGCCGCCGACGCATCGCCGACGTCGCCGATGCATCGTCGATGTATTGTTGATGCACTGGCGATGCGGCGCGATCCTCCGACCCCATCTACTCGGACCCCATCTAGGAAGTCTCTAGTTGAACTGTCTGGTCGACTCCTCCTTGTCTTCTCCCCCACCTGTCATAGGTCACGCCAGGGGAGGGCAACAGTCATCAGGAAGTTCATTAAACAATGCCCCAAGGAAGGCCGGTTGGATGAGGCGCAGGTGGATTTATGTGTTCACTCGAATCGGTGCTGGCGCCGCTACTGGCTAGCTGCAGGCAAGCGTCAGCAATAGGGTTGGTCATGGAAGCCTCAGGAGGATTGGTTGCAATGCCAGCTCTTTGCCAAGAGGGCTCCAGTTTTGAGTCACCAGGGGACGACGACAGGGACGAGGACGAGGACGAGGACGGTGGCGACGACAATGACGACGGCGACGGCGAGGGGCGACGCAGACGCCGACGGTGACGACGACCTCCGGCGACAGCGACGACGGCGGGGACGGGCCACCGAGGCGTCTGCGGCGGGCTGGTGGGCACCCCGCTGCGGAGCGTGGCGTCCAGGAGGGGGCCCCTCGCCCCGCCCGGGGGCTGCCCCGGCCTTCGCCCCTTCGTCGCCGTCCCTTCCGCCACCGCCGCCGTCGGCGTCGGCGTCGGCGTCGTCGTCGTCGTCGCCGCTGCTGATGCTGCTACGACTGTCAGTGCTGGTACTGCCATGCCCTTGCCCGCCACGTTCCCATTACCCCGCTACGGGCCGCCCCCCCCCCACCTGTAACGGACGTTACAGGGAGGGGTGTGTGTGGGTGAACCAATCTACATCCAGAGTGCCCCACTCTTGGAGGAGCAGCGTCGGCGTCGGCGTCAGCGTCGGCGTCGGCGTCGTCGTCGTCATCGTCGCCGACGAGGAGGTGGAGACGTCGGCATCGTCGTCGTATTCCTCTTGTCGCTGCTCCGACTCCCCCCCGAAATTCCTGTTTCCCGTCGTACTCCTTATTATACTCCTGCTTTGTTTCGTCGTCGTTGTCCTCCTCCTGGAGGAAGTACTAGGAGGAGAAGGAGTAGGAGGAGGAGGAGGAGGACGGAGAGGAGGAGGAGGAGGAGGAGGAGGAGGAGGAGGAGGAAGGAGGTGGAGGAGGAGGAGGAGGAGGAGGAGGATTGGAGGAGCAGGAGGAGGAGGGGAGGAGGAGGAGGAGGAGGAGGACGAGGAGGGGGACGAGGAGGAGGTGGACCAGTGAAAACCCAAGGCGCATCAACGATGTTTCCTCCAAGTTCCCTTTGGATAGGTCTCGAAAGGAGTTTATATCCATTGCGGGAAGTGGCACATTAGAAGACAACCGTTGGAGAATCTTGAAATCGTGCCGAAACGCAGATGCTTGGACTTCAACGCCACGGATTCACGTGACTGGTGCGTCCTGACAATTCTGAAGCGTGCCAGACACCATCCCTGGGGCCTCAACACCGCGAGTTAACGTTAACGTGACTTTCAAGTCCTGACAATCGAAGATCTTGCCAGAACACTCTGCCTGGGACTTCGACAGTACGAATCCTTACAACCTTTGCAAACGTTCCCCAAACATGTTTGCACTCACGTAGAGGTTCTCACTTCGCTTGGCCAAAGGCGGCTTTTGCGGGCGGTGCCGCCCATCGCCGCCGTCGCCGTCGCCGTCGCCGCCGCTCGTGGCGACGGGCGGCTTTTGCGGGCGGCGCCGCCCGTCGCCGCAGTCGCCGTCGCATAGACTGTCCTTTCTATTAAAAAAAATAGGCTCTCCCCCCCCCCCCCCCGGAGTTATCGCTACCCCTTGCGGGTATGTAAATCACATAGGATCATGACCACATGTCCATCCTAAATATGAAACCACAATGTCCCAGGCCAACCGGTATCCCCCCCCTGAGGTTCACTTGTGCGGTGACATTTTTTGTTCTAACATAGCAGTTGTTCAGGAATCCCTTGCAAACAATGGGACGAAGTGCACACGCGCACGTCGTCGCGCGCGCATGCCGAAATCCTTCAAAAACCTTCGGTGCCGAAAGGATTTCGCAATCGAGTTCCCCAAAACATACAAAAACACAGGGTTTCGCAACACTGATTTGCTAAAAAAGCTTCCGCGCGAGCTCTTGCGAAATCTCAAGGAAACAAAAGGTTTTTCAAGATTTTCACAACATGCTATTAAACGGGCTTCGCGCGCGCGCATGTCGAAATCTGTCGAACGCCCTTGCGCGTGTGCCGTCGCGAGAATCCTCTGCAACAAATAGGACGAAGTGCAGACGCGCGCGTCGTCGCGCGCGCGTATGCCGAAATCCTTCAAGACCCATAGGTTTCGGAAGGATTTCAAAATCGTGTGTTCAACAACTTACAAAAACCCAAGGTTTCGCAACACGGATTTTCAACAAAAGCGTGCGCGCGCGCTCTTGCGTCGTCGGCGTCTTCCTTTCTCCCTCGTCGTTGTCGTCGTCGGCGTCGCCGTCCTTCCTCCTTCTTCGTCGTTCGCGTCGTCGCCGTCCTCCGTCCTTCCTCGTCGTTGTCGTCGTTGTCGTCGTTGTCGCCGTCGTCGTCCTCCCTCCTCCCTCGTCGTCGTCTTCATTTGCGACGTCGTTGTCGTCGTCGTCGTCGTTGTCTTCGTCGTCGTCGGCGTCGGCCTCGTCGTCGTCTGCGTCGTCGTCGTCGTTAACATCGTCGTCGTCGTCGGCGTCGTCGTCGTCGTCGGTGTCGTCGTCGTCGCTGTCGTCGTCGAAGTCGTTGGAGACGTCGTCGGTGTCGTCGTCGGTGTCGGCGGCGCCGTCGTCGTCGTTGTCGCTGTCGTCGTCGGCGTCGGTGTCGTGGCCAAGTGCCATGTGGTACATACCGTCACGGTCTTGTCTTAAGAGGTCTTGCGACCAAGTTGCGGGTGGGAGGGTGGGATGTTTGCACGAGCAGTGGGGAAGACAGCTTCAAGACGGTCAAAATGAACTGCACCACGTAGATGCGCAACATATCTTGCACCGCATAGATTGCATTACATGGGTTGCCGCGCGTAAATTCCCTTATCTGGCAAGAAAATAGACTCTACCCCCTGGTTTAATCGGTACACCTTTGTGTGTGTGGCAAGTTACATATGTTTCGACCCCATCGCCAATCCGACATATGATGTCGTACCATCCCAGGCGAGCCGGGTTCGATCCCCCCCCCGCCATCGTTGGTAAAACATGCTATGCGCGCGCACTCGTCTATCAAACATCAGAAGTCTCCTTAAGAATCCCTTGCAAATAATGGGACGGAGTGCGCACGCGTTCGTCGTAGCGCGCATGCCGCAATCGTTCCAAAACCTTCGGTTGCGGAAGGATTTCAAAATCGAGTGCCCCCCAAAACATATAACAACACATGTTTTCGCAACACGGATGTTCAAAAAAGTCCTGCGCGCGCTCTTGCGAATTCTTAAAGAAGCCATGCGTTTTTCAACATTGTGAAGGAGTTCTGCCAAACGGGCCTCGGGCGCCGCATGCCGACATCATTCGCACGCCCTTGCGCGCGTGCTGGGGGGGGCACGATCCAGGTCAAATGAACCATGCGGGCCGCTCTCGCGCGTCGGCCGCGCGCGCATGTCGAACTCTTTCCAAACCTTCATCACCGACGCGAGGGCGCCGTCATCGTCGTCGGCGCGATCAGCATCCGAGCCCGCACTGGCCGCGCCTTCGTCGGCGCGAACATCGTCGCCAGCACCTCCACTATCATCATCGTGCCCACCGTAGTCGGCGTTGCCATGATACCGCTGCCGCCCAAGTTGCCAACTCACAGTGAAAGTGCCCGCTGGGATGCGCCCAGCGGTCAGCGCCACAGCGGCCGCGTCGGTGGTGCCAAACTAGCTGGCCACTGCGCGCGAGTGCTAGGGTTGGCGCGGCCGGCAGAGATGCACTTGCCAACGCCAAGCATGCATCGCAATCGCCACCGCATGGGTTTTGCAAACCACGTTGCGGGTGGGTGGGTGGGATGTTTGCAAGAGCATGGGGCGTGTCAATTCGTTTGTATAAATCAATTCTCCATTATAAGAAGAGAATGGACTCTACCCCCCCCGGCGTTATCGCCCCCCTTTCGGGTATGTAAATCACATATGATTCTGACCACATGTCCATCCTAAATATGAAATCGCAATGTCCCAGGCCAACCGGGTTCCCCCCTCTGAGGTTCCCTTGCAAACAAAAAACACTATGCGGTGACATGTTTTGTTCTAACATAGCACTTTTCCACGAATCCCTTGTAACAAATGGGACGAAGTGCATACGCGCGCGTCGTCGCGCGCGCATGCCGAAATCCTTCAAAAACCCTCGGTGCCGGAAGGATTTCGCAAACGAGTTCCCAAACAACATACAAAAACACAGGGTGTCGCAACACTGATTTGCTAAAAAAGCTTCCGCGCGAGCTCTTGCGACATCTTAAGCAAACCATAGGTTGTTCAAGATTCTTACAACATGCTACCAAACGGGCTTCGCGCGCGCGCGTGTCGAAATCTGTCGAACGCCCTTGCGCGCGTGCCGTCACGAGAATCCTCTGCAAAAAACGGGACGAAGTGCAGACACGCGCGTTGTCGCGCGCGTATGCCGAAATCCTTCAAAAACCCCGGTTTCGGAAGCATGTTAAAACCGCGCGTCTAAAAAACGTACAAAAACCCAAGGTTTCGCAACACGGATTTTCAACAAAAGCGTGCGCGCGCGCTCTTGCGGCGTCGTCATCGTCGTCGTCGTTGTCGCCGTCCTCCCTCCTCCCTCGTCGTTGTCGTTGTCGGCGTCGCCGTCCTCCTTCTTCGTCGTTCGCGTCGTCGCCGTCCTCCCTCCTCCCTCGTCGTTGTCGTCGTTGTCGCCGTCGTCGTCCTCCCTCCTCCCTCGTCGTCGTCGTTGTCTTCGTTGGTGGCGTCGTCTTCGTCGTCGTCGTTGTCTTCGTCGCCGTCGGCGTCAGCGTCGGCGTCGGCGTCGTCGTCGTCGGCGTTGTCATCGTCGTCGTCGTCGGCGTCGTCGTCGTCGTCGGGGTCGTCGTCGTCGTCGTCGTCGTTGTCGTCGTCGAAGTCGTTGGAGACGTCGTTGGTGTCGTCGTAGTCGGTGTCGGCGGCGCCGTCGTCGTCGTTGTCGCTGTCGTCGTCGGCGACGGTGTCGTGGCCAAGTGCCACGTGGTACTTACCGTCACGGTCTTGTCTCAAGAGGTTTTGCCACCAAGTTGCGGTTGGGAGGGTGGGATGTTTGCGCGAGCAGTGGAGAGGACAGCTTCAAGACGGTCAAAGACTCTACCCTTCCCCCCCCGGCGTTATCGGTCCCCCTTTCGGGTATGTAAATCACATATGATTCTGACCACATTTCCATCCTAAATCTGAATTTACACTATCCCAGGGGGCCGGGTTCCCTCCCTCAGATTCCCTTGCACCAAAAAACAATATGCGGTGACATTTTTTGTTCTAACATACCTTTTTGTTCGCGAATCCCTTGCAATAAATGGGACGAAGTGCACACGCGCGCGTCGTCGCGCGCGCATGCCGAAATCCTTCAAAAACCTTCGGTGCCGGAAGGCTTTCGCAATCGAGTTTCCAAGCAACATACAAAAA